TAATCTATGATAAAATCTAGTAAGAATTACCATGCTTACAGACTGTCAGGTTTCAACAGAATCCTGCCATCATGATAAAATCTAGTAAGAATTACCATGCTTACAGACTGTCAGGTTTCAACAGAAGTCTGCCATCATGATAACATCTATTAGAAGATACCATGCTTACAGACTGTCAGGTTTCAACAGAATCCTGCCATCATGATAAAATCTAGTAAGACTTACCATGCTTACAGACTGTCAGGTTTCAACAGAATCCTGCCATCACGATAAAATCTAGTAAGACTTACCATGCTTACAGACTGTCAGGTTTCAACAGAAGTCTGCCATCATGATAAAATCTAGTAAGAATTACCATGCTTACAGACTGTCAGGTTTCAACAGAATCCTGCCATCATGATAAAATCTAGTAAGAATTACCATGCTTACAGACTGTCAGGTTTCAACAGAATCCTGCCATCATGATAAAATCTAGTAAGAATTACCATGCTTACAGACTGTCAGGTTTCAACAGAATTCTGCCATCATGATAACATTTATTAGAAGATACCATGCTTACAGACTGTCAGGTTTCAACAGAATCCTGCCATCTTGATAAAATCTAGTAAGAATTACCATGCTTACAGACTGTCAGGTTTCAACAGAATCCTGCCATCATGATAAAATCTAGTAAGAATTACCATGCTTACAGACTGTCAGGTTTCAACAGAATCCTGCCATCATGATTTCAACAGAATCCTGCCATCATGATAAAACCTAGTAAGAATTACCATGCTTACAGACTGTCAGGTTTCAACAGAATCCTGCCATCATGATAACATCTAGTAAGAATTACCATGCTTACAGACTGTCAGGTTTCAACAGAATCTGCCATCATGATAACATCTACTAAGAATTACCATCCTTACAGACTGTCAGGTTTCAACAGAATCCTGCCATCATGATAAAATCTAGTAAGAATTACCATGCTTACAGACTATCAGGTTTCAAAATATGGAGTAAAGAAAAGTTACATCATTATTTCCTGGTTTTACAGAAAAAGAAAAGCTTAAAGGCGGGGAACAACTTCAACACATTCCTGATTTCTTTCCAATTCTATAAAATGTCTTAGAAACCCAAGTGTCTCTCATCTAATGCATTTGCTCACCCTTAGCCAAATACGACGTAATACTATTATGACCTTCCCCAACTCTAAAGGAATATTAGAAGGAGAAAACAACTTTTGTCTGTATCAAACTGAACCACGCTCCAATCAAAGATCAAAGAGCAGCAATTATACTTCCGGAGAAGAGTACTTCTTTCTTAAGAAAGACTACTGTACGTCCTTATTGTACTCTCTCATTATCGTTTGTATGACATTAACATGTATTTGTTAGAACTGCTGCTCCGTACACAGTGTCTATTTCACTTTTCAGATGAATGAGATGACCATTAAAGCTATCATCTTGTAACTTTATATCTCAGTGACAGTATGTTTTCATTTTAAATTAGTAGACTTATTTTGACTTTCACGGAACAAAATCCATTGATATGAAACTTGCCATTTTGTTTGGAAAAATCTTGTTTGCAATTTCTGAATTATAATTGCCATCATTTGACCCCACAACTGTTCCCTAATCTTCTCTGTCACATTTGCCTGTCAAATTTTACAAAGATCCATCCTAAACTCAATTCATGAAAATTATTTATGCTACACTGAAATAGCTTGTGAACTAATTGCACCTAGTCGCCGTTATTAAGCAACTGATATTTACCTTATTCACGACTCAAACAAACCTTAGTTGACCAAGTATGAATACATTTATCATAAATGATATATTTAGACTCGGTAAAGGTTACATTTGTTCAAGTTTAAAATAAGTACACATCCGACGGAAATATCCATGGTCATTCAATCTTGACATATAAAAAATGCTTAGCTTAACAGGAAATACAACTTCAACGGTAAGCCATCATGCCTATTGATGGTTTATCACAAATTTCACATCTGTACTAACCGAGTTCTCACCTATTCTTTCACATGAAACGATCTGAGGGGAGTCTGTTTTGTTAACTATCAATTTTCAAACATTTTAATAAGAGATTGCTGAGATAACTTGCATTAACTTCAAGATTTACTGTATGTTGTGATGTGTATATTCCAGAAACTGGGCTTGTAATGTAAATACACAACTGCCTTACCGAATGTACCTAGATACCACAGTGATACTGAACACACATATATGTATTTCAGTTAACATGAACCCCTAATGTCTTCAGAGATAAGGAGTGATGAAACATGGGTGGAGTCCTGTGCTATGGGTATGAATTAATGGAATTAAGGAAACATGAATTTGAATTAAGGAAACATGGATAATTATCTGAAAACAAAGTGTGATGTGGCTTATACTCACAGATGCTGTTTTTACTCATCAGACTTACATCAGAGGCCAACGCAAATTTCAAAAAGCTACAACCTTAAAGATTATTTCTTTTTAGAGTATAAATAATATTTTACGCTTATCCTAACTCATCCTATTTGCTTCTCTGCCTTAACCTGAGACATAATGGAAACATTCTGTGTTATGTTTCCCAAGAACAGTAAACACACCCAAACACACCCTCAAATGTGCATGCGGCTCCACACGACCTGTTGCTCACTCGTCACTCTCTCCATTTTCAAATAAATCAAAATTAGCGAAAAGCGTGGTGTTCATCAGATATTATAGCGTATGAGTCAGGGTAAGTATGAAATAACATATTTATTCTAAAAAGTACATATTTTTCCTAATCCTGAATCATACTATTTGAGTCAATCCATCTGTAGTTTTTTAATTCATGTACTGTTCATATAACTCCAAGGAAACGTCTAATCTTCATGAATCTTGATGAAAAGGGGTACCACCTTCTTTTTGGAACAGAAGAAGTAAATCCCGAAACATCCTTCCACTATGGATGAGATGGAGCAGTTACCATGTGACACTATCATGGACATTATGACTCTTACTTCATGCAGTTGGATGCTGTTGGTGGATCTAGTCCAGAGGCACTAGAAGGTCATATGACCTCACCAGACCCAACACTGGTAAAACTGTCCCATACAGCGTTTGTTTAACATCATCTTTACATGCCTCCAAAAAACAATTCCTAACTTTGGAGACGTGCAGTGGCTACCCTGGATGGATTAGTTAGTAGTGGTTGAGTAGCCAGATAGAAATTTATACTCTAGCCAGGTTACTTTATGTTATTATACCTTCTGGACACAGCTGTGTACATCATAAGTTGAAGAAACTGCCAATAACTGAGAAAAAAGTATTTGATTCATGTAAACATCCTTTTCAGTGTTTTCATAGTGTTCTCGCCTACCTTTATGAAATCTACTTAGTATCCGGGCAACCTGGACAAAAGCTTCATCTTAGTGTAATCATAAAATAGAATGAGTTTAGTTTTACGCCGCTTTTAGCAATACTCCAGCAATAGCATGGCAAGGGACACCAGAAATCGGCTTCATACATTGTACCCATGTGGGGAATCGAACCCGGGCCTTAGGCGTGACAAGTGAATGCTTTAACCACTAGGCTACCCCACCGCCCCATAATATATAAATGTGTCATTATGTGTGTTCTGGTATAGTAAACATTGTGCATTAGAAACACACTGTATTTAGGGAGCCTTGTTCACACAGTATATGCAGTTGATAGATACACCAACACGAGATTGACTGTCTCCATTCTCATGGTACAGTTAGTGAGTGAGTGAGTGAGTGAGTATGGTTTTACGCCGCTTTTAGCAATATTCCAGCAATATCACGGCGGGGGACACCAGAAATGGACTTCACACATTGTGCCCATGTGAGGATTCGAACCCGGGTCTTCGGCGCGACGAGCGGACGCTTTAACCACTAGGCTACCCCACCGCCCGCTCATGGTACAGACCCATCACTGGTCAAACTGTGACACAGACCAACACTGGTCAAACAGTGACACAGAGAGTTTGTTACACAGCTGTCTCACGTCTCACCCAGACCCAACACTGGTCAAACTGTGACACAGAGAGGTTGTTACACAGCTGTCATGCCTCACCCAGACCCAACACTGGTCAAACAGTGACACAGAGAGGCTGTTACACAGCTGTCTCACGTCTCACCCAGACCCAACACTGGTCAAACTGTGACACAGAGAGGCTGTTACACAGCTGTCTCACGTCTCACCCAGTCTGGTCAAACTGTGACACAGAGAGGTTGTTACACAGCTGTCTCACGTCTCACCCAGACCCAACACTGGTCAAACTGTGACATAGAGAGGCTGTTACACAGCTGTCATGCCTCACCCAGACCCAACACTGGTCAAACTGTGACACAGAGAGGTTGTTACACAGCTGTCTCACGTCTCACCCAGACCCAACACTGGTCAAACTGTGACACAGAGAGGCTGTTACACAGCTGTCGCACACCTCACCCAGACCAACCACTAGGTTACCCCACACCGCCATAGGTACAGACCCATCACTGGTCAAATCCGTGATACAGACCAACACTGGTCAAACAGTGACACAGAGAAGCTTTGTTACACAGCTGTCTCAACGCCTCACCCAGACCCAACACTGGTCAAACTGTGACACAGAGAGAGGTTGTTACACAGCTGTCATGCCTCACCCAGACCCAACACTGGTCAAACTGTGACACAGAGAGGTTGTTACACAGCTGTCTCACGTCTCACCCAGACCCAACACTGGTCAAACTATGACACAGAGAGGCTGTTACACAGCTGTCTCACGCCTCACCCAGTCTGGTCAAACTGTGACACAGAGAGGTTGTTACACAGCTGTCTCACGTCTCACCCAGACCCAACACTGGTCAAACAGACATAGAGGGCTGTTACACAGCTGTCACACGTCACACCCAGACCCAACACTGGTCAAACTGTGACACAGAGAGGCTGTTACACAGCTGTCGCACACCTCACCCAGACCCAACACTGGTCAAACTGTGACACAGAGAGGTTGTTACACAGCTGTCTCACCTTGTCTCGGGTCTCCTGGTCCAGATCAATGCACTGGTCAAGTGGCATGCCCTCCACAAACTCTGTGGTCAAAATCTGGGATGCTGTTAATTCTTCTATCACCTCAGGAATTTGGAATTCCGAGTAGTCCTTCAACAAGTTTCTGGAAACATCAATTATATGTTTGACATACTTCCTACTTCATTGAAATGGACATGAAATGCACTAGACATTCTGTTAGAACTACACACAAATTCAGGTGCATGGCACAGGTGTTAAAACATAAACTGTAGAACTGTTGCAGATCAACCTCAAGTTTCCCAGGCCCAGACTGGTATAACTGACTGACTGAGTTTGGTTTTACGCCGCTTTTAGCAATATTCCAGCAATATCATGGCGGGGGACACCAGAAATGGGCTTCACTCATTGTACCCATGTGGGGATTTGAACCCGGGTCTTCGGCGTGACGAGCCAACGCTTTAACCACTAGGCTACCCCACCGCCCAGGCCCAGACTGGTATAAAGATTTCCTTGTAGGGGTGGTCTATTTTCAACAGAGTCATTAACATTTCAGTTTCCATTTTTCCTGTTTGTGTTACCATGGTTACTTGAATACCTTATAGTGTGTTGGCATCATTTGTCTGAAGGATGCTTCACAAGATCTGAATATGCATGCAAAATCTGACAACATTATTGCTTTTTCATGTTTATGTTAAACCGTTTTTTCTCTTTTTATAAAATATACATTAATTTTGAGAAACAAAATTATTATTGTGCATCTGATTCTATGCCATGTACCTAAATCTATTCCATGTACCTGAATCTGTACAGTGTACTTGAATCTACGTCATGATCCTTATCTACGCTGTGTACCTGAATCTATGCCATGTAACTTAAATCTATACCATGTACCTGAATCTGTACAGTGTACTTGAATCTACATCATGATCCTTATCTACGCTGTGTACCTGAATCTATGCAATGTACCTTAAATCTATTCTGTGTACCATATTATATGCTGTGTATCACAATCTATGCCATTTACCTGAATCTTTTGCTGCATTCAGCCTCCCTGTTATAGTCGACCTCCCATGCCAGCTCCCTCCTGGCTACATTCATCACGTTTTCCACGTACAGACCTGCAAGAAACACCAGTTAAACTGACATTTGTATCAGTCATCATTAGGGGAAACATACATATCAATGTTCAGTTCACTCAGTCTGGCAATTTCAGAGTGGAAGTTTACAGAACAAAAAATACAGAAAGAATTTAAGCCATGGTACACAATAACCAGAGAGTGGTGAATCACACAACATGCAAAGCAAATACCAACCTGCATTTCATTTGTTTGATAGTGCCCACTACTCACTACACATACTGACATACTTCGCAATGCAGCATCAGCTTAACATGAAGGTCAACAAAACCAGTAACAGTTAATATTTACCCTCATAACAATGAACACTGACAGTATGACAATATGACAACATGACATATAACGCCAACAAACAGACCACAGCTAACTTTGATGCTTGTGGCCATATTGTGAAAAATTACCCAAATGTAGTTTTCAAAGTACAGTAGAACACGGATATAACGAACTCCAAGGGACCACGAAATTTAGTTTGCTATATCCGGTGTTCGTTATTCACATTTGACCGCCATCTTGGATTGTAGAGATGTAGAGACACGTATACGCTGAGGCTACAAATATTTATTCTTGTACATGTACATTGACATAACATTAAAATTCTGAATTTATCATTCACAGATATTAGCTAAAACATTTTTAACAATCACAACAATCTCAACAATACATGTATATAACTTAATTACGTTTAACAAAGTCCACAATTTTGCTCTGCACACCACGTCTTGCAGACTTCATTTTGTCGACTGCGTCACAGACATCTGCAAGAGAGTCGAAGATAGAACTATCTGTACCTTCACAAACAAGTAGATGACGTAGTGTCTCTAATGCTGCATTGGCCTCAGCAAAGGATGGCTTCGGGCGAGGTTCATCATCTTCACTATTCGAGTTGGGAGCGGGTGTGACAGTGGGCGTGGCAAACTGCTGGGCTACTGACGTCACAATCTCGTCTTCAGTAGGGCGTTCGGCTGTAACAACTTGATTGTCAGCATTGATGAAGTCGTCCAACGTGACATCTGCCGGGATTTCTTCTGCTTTTTCTGACAGTTCATTCCACATAACTCTGAGGTCGGAAAGAACCATGTTGTCTGTCTCATCGTCTGACGAACCTTCATCTCGCTCAGGAAGGACAAAGCCTCCCCTTCCGATAGCAGTTGGCGATCGTGTTAGATTTGACCTGTCTCCAAGCGGCATGAATCATCTGGATGGCATCAAGGAGAGTGATTTGATGTTCTTTCTTCTGATCATAGGCAGTTAGCATTTTCCTCATTACCTGGCCCTTGTACAGTTGTTTCAGGTTTGCTATTATACCCTGGTCCATGGGTTGAATCTTACTCGTAGTGTTCGGTGGAAGGAAGACAAGTTTGACGTGTGTCAGGTGTTTCACGACAGGATGGGCAGGACAATTGTCTACAAACATCAGGATCTTACGTTTTTGTCTTGTCATACTCTTTTCCAGGTTTTTGATCCACTCTGTGAATAATTCACCTGTCATCCAGGCCTTGGTATTTGATCTGTAAGTTACTGGCAAACTGCGTACATTTTTGAAGCATCTAGGCTTTGCTGCCTTCCCGATCACTAACAACTGAAGTTTTTCACTCCCGGACATGTTTGCCGCTACCAACAATGTTATTCTCTCTTTAGAATTTTTTCCACCACTGCATTTTTCAGATTTAAAGTGAAGAGTTCTGTTTGGTTTCATTTTGTAGAAGAGGCCAGTTTCGTCAGCATTGAAAATGTTATCAGGCTTGTACTCTTCAAGATAGCCAGGCAGGCGAGTTTTCAGCCAATCATTGACGAGGTCGGGGTCAACAGATGCACTTTCCCCGTGACTTGATTTACATACGATGCCACGCCTCTGTTTGAATCTGTCAATCCAAGCACTACTGCAATTAAAATCTAAATGACCTAACTTGGATGCCAATTCATTTGCCTTAGTCTGCAACATGGGACCATTTAAGGGAATGTTCTCACTTCTAGCCCCTTGAAACCATTTGTAGAGAGCATCTTCTATGTCTTGGTGATTGGCAGCTCTCAACTTTTTGCGGGCGGGGCCATAATCAGTTGACACAGATTTTGCAAGAATCGATTCGCGATTCTTAATGATGGAACTGAGAGTGGATTTTGGAATGCCAAAGTCGTAAGCGATGTTTGTCTTAGATTTCACACCTGAATCTACAGCCTGAATTATCTGAAGCTTGGTGTCAAAAGTGATGGCTTTACGTTTGCCTGCCATAGTGACGAGAGTGCACTGAAGACCTGTATACCAGTCAAGCTTTTAAACACGACATGTTTGTTTTGATTAACACGTTAATGACCATCGAACAATGTTGATTCGCCTCCAACAAGGTTGATGTATACCGCTAAGTGGCTGAGCTGACACTGAGCTGACACTGAGTGAGTTCGCTAATCACGTCGTTAGTTGGGCTTAGGGGTAGTAAATCAGTTCGCTATTGCCGTTTATTTGCTACTCACGAGTTCGTTATTCGTGTATAATTTTAATGATATTATAAAGGACTGTTGACGGGACTTTTAAATTTGTTCGCTATATCCGTTTGTATGCTATATCCGTGTTCGTTATATCCGTGTTCTACTGTACATCAACTTTCATTACTTTATGCATATTATTTAATATTTTTAAGCAATATTCCAGCAATATCACGGCGGGGTACACCAGAAATGCACACGTGGGGAATCGAACCCATGTCTTCGTGTGTCGAGCGAACGCTTTAACCACTAGTCTACCCCACAGCCCCAACATGATTAGAGGTCTCTAAGAACATGGCACATCAACACTGATATGGGCATTATTTTTCAACAACTAGAATAAGCACTACATGATTGAAAGATGAGGAACTAACAATAAGGACCATGTCAAGGGAGGTAACCTTATCTAGACAGCAGTGTAATAATTAAAACAAAATCTTCACCACCCAGACCATGATGCACCCACAGTCAGTAGTAGGAACTTGGTAAGAGATTATGGTTACCTTCTGGCAGGAGTTTTCCTACTCGTAATACGGCCATCAGGTTGTTGATGTCACTATCAATACTCTGGGCCACACCAGGGTACTGCAAATACACATGAAACATGGTAAACTTTAGGCCTCTTCCGAACATTCCTAAAATGCAAATACAACAGTTCCGAGTTATCAGTGCAAATCAGGCAACACTTGACATGAAAGGCCTTCAGACCTACCCTTTCAGTAAACATAACTGTCGACAAAATAAACTTGAAATAATAAACAAGAAGACAAAGTCATCAATATCCCCCGCAATGGCAAAATACTCTTCATGATTATGTCTACGAGTTATGATTATGTCAAATACTTAGGTGTGTATATAGAAAAGTGGAAGGAGAGTATTGAAAGGTTTTTAAAGTTCTGCTCCAGAAAATAGCACTATCACCAATTTCAGTCAAAGTGAAACTTGTTGCCATGGAAACGCCAAAATATTTTATCCAGAATTCCAAAACTACCAAAAGGCACCAGTACACCACCAGATCTATCTATGTGCCAAGTTTGGCGAAGAAATATTGAACGGTTTTAGTGGTCTGCTCCAGAAAAGAGCACAACCACCAATTTCAGTCTAAGTCAAACTTGTTGCCACCAAAAATATTTTATTCAGAATTCCAAAACTACCAAAAGGCACCACTACACCACCAGATCTATCTATGTGCCAAGTTTGGTGAAGAAATGAAGGGTTTTAGTGGTCTGCTCCAGAAAAGAGCACAACCACCAATTTCAGTCTAAGTCAAACTTGTTGCCACCAAAAATATTTTATTCAGAATTCCAAAACTACCAAAAGGCACCACTACACCACCAGATCTATCTATGTGCTAAGTTTTAGTGGTCTGCTCGGAAAAGAGCACAACCACCAATTTCAGTCTAAGTCAAACTTGTTGCCATGGAAACGCCAAAAATATTTTATTCAGAATTCCAAAACTACCAAAAGGCACCACTACACCACCAGATCTATCTATGTGCCAAGTTTGGTGAAGAAATATGCAACGGTTTTAGTGGTCTGCTCCGGAAAAGAGCACAACCACCAATTTCAGTCTAAGTCAAACTTGTTGCCATGGAAACGCCAAAAATATTTTATTCAGAATTCCAAAACTACCAAAAGGCACCACTACACCACCAGATCTATCTATGTGCCAAGTTTGGTGAAGAAATAGTGAACGGTTTTAGAGTTCTGCTCCGGAAAAGACAAAAGTGCACGGACGGACGGACGCGCACACGCACACACGCACGCACGGACGGAGTCCATTCTAATACCCCCGCAAAACGCATTGCGGGGGATAAAAATAATAAATTTTTCTTACAGCAGATGGACATGGGAAATAAACTTTGCAGAAAGAACAATGCTCTTCTGCAATATTTTGCCATAATGACATGTACCCTGTATGTAGTCGTACCAGGCATTCACGCTTGTATCCTGTGTATCATATTAATTATCTTACCTCACACATAAATGTCGCTTTCTGATTGGCTGATCGCTCTTCTGTTATTTTCAACGTACCCCGCTTTCAAGCGAGTAACAATTTAATGTACCCTGCTGTCAATGGCAACTCATTTGGTACTTCGTGGAGGTAATTCTTTATCTCGAATAACATTTAATCACGTAATGTACGGAAATTATCGATGTTTTGCGAAAGCAAATCGATGGAAGGGAGATAACTCTAAATAATAATAATATATAATAAATGTGAACTTATAATGCGCCTTTTCCATGCACAAGGCCCATGCTCAAAGCGCTAACAGAGTGAGTGGATAATATGCATATATACAATAAGGGACTAGTTGCTAGTCATAATGCAGTGAAAACAGATGAGTCTTGAGAAGTCGTTTGAAGGAATAAAAGTCAACTGCTGATTTAATGGTGATAGGGAGAGAGTTCCAGAGTAGAGGGGCAGAGCAGACAAAGGATTTCCTTCCAAAAGTTTGCAGTTTGAACCGAGGCACAGAGAGTAGGTTCAGATTCTGAGAACGGAGCTGTCTTTCTGGAGTGTACGGGGTAAGAAGTTCTTTCAAGTATTCTGGGCCTATGCCATTGAGGCATTTGTAGACAAAACACAATATTTTAAAGTCAATTCTTGATTTAACAGGCAGCCAGTGGAGGTTTTTCATGACAGGTGTTATGTGTGCCATCTTTGTTCAATCTGTTTTTCTTGTCTGCAAAATCTAGCAATGGCTACAAAAAGATTTGTACCCGTGCTTCAAACAATTCAAAATTAACATTAAGGTGTTCGGTAAGATAAATACGTTGTTCACTGGTCCCATGGGTCCCATAGGTTGATGTACCCCCTCGTGACCAGTGAACAACTGAAATTGATCATACTCTAACAATGAAATCACAGAGTCTGATCCATTCAGTCACATCTTGCAACCAGCATAGGTTGCTGTGCACAATTTCTAATCAGGAATTCCCCATATCAGACTGCACAATGTCCATTGTAAATCGACTATATTCTATGTTTGTCTTTAATATAGACAAATGTCACAGGAGTGTCCATGATTAAATGATCAATCAGTTTGTACAGCTATATCACTGCCTATATATTAAAATAACTACCTGTATTTTCATGGCAACTGGACGGCCATCGAGCAAAGTTCCTCTGTGCACCTGGCCAATGGAGGCCGCAGCGAAAGGCTTTTCGTCAAACGTCTCCAGTTTACTTCTCCAGTCAGGTCCAAGTTGTTTTGTCAATACCCGCTGAAAGAAGATGAACATACACAATATATACAGTACTTCTTGGCTGCTTTATGACAGTTGTAAACTACTTTCACTTAGAATATCAGCTCTCATTGTAAATTTGAAGACTCTGGTGAGTTAATATTTCATATTTGTGGCCCATTACTTAAGATTTGTGACTCAATTGCATTGTACTAAATATCTGTACTGTCATTCATTGTAGCTTGCTCATTGTTTGTTCAATATATTATTGAATATTTTAGACATGTCTGCGTTATATTTGGCTGGTTCAAAGGGGACTCTTAAACCTTTTGTCACGGCAATTATTTAACCGTAACAGCGTGACAAGCGAACGCTTTAACCACTAGGCTACCTCACAGCCCCATTCTAATGTTTTAGAGTATTCTCTCCGTCTAAATCAATTCAGTCACAGAACAAGACATTAAGCAAAAGGTTTTTGTACTTTACATTAATTCTGGCAGTTGATTCTGCCCTGTTAAATCTTCAAACCTAAAACTCAACAAACTTGGCCTTACCCGCATCTGGGAGGAAGGCATGAAATCTGCACTTTGCCGAACTCTCTCAAAAATCGTCTGTAATTGTGGATTAATGAAGGAATTGTCTGAAGAGTAGAAAACATTTTCATTACACAGCATTCTGTCATAAGAGGACAACACTAAACAATCTGCATGCAAAGCAATTTGCCTGACATGTTTGTCAAGAATTATCTCCCCTTGACCATTACCAAATACACCATGCAGTCAATTCAGATTTCAATGGTGGATGACATGCTTCAATCCCTCTAATCTACAAAACATTTATGACCAGTTTCTCCAGGTATAATCTGAACAAACCAACGGGTCCTTTGGATCTAAAAGTTGTGGCCACAGAGACAGTAGATGTGTATGCAGATCTCTGGATTTGGCAAAATGTTCTTCAAACAACTGTCAAGATACGTGTCTACAAAAGTTTGGGTTTTTTCAATTTTTGTGTAAAACATCAAACATATGATATGATATCAGAGCTCTTCAAAGGCTTATGTAGAAATACTGAACAGGTTTTGAATTCTGGATGCTTAATCTTCAAACATAATTTTTTCACCACTATTCAAAGTAAATCATTTCCTTGGAAATGACAAATGTAAATCTTTCCTTGGAAATGACAAACGTAACTGACACACAGACATGCTGATTACCATATTTAGCTGTTACATTTTAAAACTGCCTTACAATTAATTGTACAGAATCTGTACAAAACAGTAATTACTACAGACATCTTCAAGCCTCAAGTGATATTCTTCTCAAAATATTGACTACAACATTGTACTTGATAAATATTAACACTTCATTTAGTCCTCTGATTTATCACCAACACTGGTTGACAGACTGACCTTGAATGCTGAGCATCTGGCCAAGTTTAAACGCTGCTCCCCGCACACGGCAGAGCGTGTTGACAATTCTTTCAGCGTTCGCCTCCGTCAGGAAGGGGCTGGAGTCCAATATACCTTGACCTTTGGCAGCATCTGAAACAGGCAGCAGGAACGGGCATATACTCAGATCCATGCAATATGTGATGAGAAAATAACTACAACATTTTGCAAACTGAGTGAGGGAGCAAATATTGACCTTGTCACACATTCCTATGTCCTGGGATTACAACACATCTCATCATTTGGTATACAACCAGCACATTCTGCCATTGTATTTCCAGGAATCAGTCACACAAATAGGGCAAGGATACACAGTGTGGAAGATATTTCAGTTATACCAAGTCCAGGAGTAACTTGTGGGAAGAAAGAGTGTAGTGATGGGCATGGATCTATATTACTGCACAGTCATCAACTGTTCAGACGGATGTACAGAGATCATTCAGTATTTAAGTGTCAGCAAACACAGACATCAATACCAAACAGATGTACAGAGATCATTCAGTATTCAAGTGTCAGCAAACACAGACATCAATACCAGACAGACTTACACTACAAATTATAAACAATGTCTTTTAATTTTTTTCTCCAACAGTTAAAAATTACTGGCAAATTCTTACTGTCATTCATGATGCCCAATGACCTCCGTGTGACCTCGGCGATGGCTCCGGCCCCAAGACCAGCTGCCAGACCTGGAACAAAATGCAAGGAAAAGTTGCTGAAAAATTTCAATTCACAATATTTTACTTTGCAATCTTATTAAGCATTCAGGCGATACAAATGTAACAACCCATGAAATACAAATGTATTCTATATCCTGGTTCCCAAAGATGAAGGAAACTGATGAAATCGTAAATAAGACGTCATCCCAGAGAACCAGTGCCATCTAGTGAACATGACATGACAATATACTTCAGTATGTCAACATACAAATACATAGCTTGATTCATTTTTTAGTGCATTAATTCACAATTTACACAATCTGGTTATATCACAGGAGGTGACTGTGAAACTCCGTAATTTGAAGAAAAAATTGTCTGCTTGTCGTCACTGTATTTTTGCAGCCATGTCTAAGATGGAATAAAATTCTATGGCATTGGCATGTACCAGGGAATCTTTTGTCTGGATCATTCATGTTCAATGGCCTTACAGTTTAAAACCAGACAATAAATATATAACTACCATTTAATCCACTGTGACCCCACAAAATGAACATTGAAAATTATTGACATTGTTGAAAAATGAAACTGAACAGTTGTTTCATGTCTCTCCAACACACTGTGAAGAGAATAAAAGATGACACTGTAATATGACTAACACGAGTTAGATGGCACGTTTTCATTTTGTCAGCTCAGACCGTTGCTTGACTGTTTCATAACATGTTATAATTTTAGTGAGGAACATGTTCCCACTTTGAAGACCAGGGTCCAGTTTCACAAAGCGATCTTAGCGCTATACGACTATCTGAAGTCTATATTAACCCATTGCAGCTACGACAGTCATAGCTCTAAGACAGCTTTGTGAAAGGGGGCCCAGTTCTTGGATATTCCTCACATTAAAGATGGCCTCAATGAAGAGCTAAACGTCCCTTGTATTGATGACTGAAGCAATGCTTTTTAGCATTTGATTTTTATATTGAATGCGACCTGGAAAGTATTGGACAAAAATGTCATTTGCAAATTGGCTGCAGCCTGTGCTATGGCATCCATGTCATTCAGTTTAGAAATCAGTATATTTTTGAAACCATAGCTAGGGTACTTCCTGGAATGTGTCAGCTTAATGGGTTTCATAGTTTCAGAGGAAAGTTTCACGTCTAAAGTGTAAATGTTAATGTCAGGCAAACAGATGAAGAATGGCTTGCCACTATATGCTCAGTTGACTTTCAGTCAGGTGAGTGAAACAAGTGTTGCCTTAGGTAATATCCTTTCACTAGTGCTGTACCTCCATAGCTGAACAATCTGCTGACGCGAGAAGCTGGGACTCGCCGCTCCCTTGCCCGTGCACTCAACTGAAAAGCAATGTTTCAATAGAATAAACAACATGCATAAGAGTGCAGTTCAAAGATCAGTGATGATCACACTGATCTCCTCAACATGCTCAAGTTATAACACAAATAAAGTGGGTAGCTGCATTGAATATGCAAAAATATATCACCAATATCAACAAAAAGTTTAGCTCCTTGCACAGAGACCCAGTAATATGACAACACTGCATTATGAGCTATTGTATGCTTTCCAGGTGTATATTTTTACAGGTCTATACTTAAAAATTAAGAACAAGCATCACACATACATTAATTCGACTGCAGTATTAGACATAGATAGCCTTGCTGTGAGTGATATTTTACAACTATATGTGAATACCTGAAGGTAACCATGGTAACTATCAATATCCTTTGTAAATAATGAGTAACTGCCGAGACATCCACCTACACACCACACTGAAAATACTGACAGTATATAACCAAACAACTTAAGACTGCAGTTCAAAGATCCCTGTTGATAAAACCGAGTAAAACGATATGAATACCACAGGTGTCAACACTGAGTGTGTATAATATAACAACATGAGTATATACTGATATATCCACCCAGAACTTAGCTGTGAATACTGACAGCGCATGTCAAGTGAAATCTTCTGACAGATTTATACTGATTTGTAAGTGGTCATACTTTTGTCATGTTTGAGTATGTCAAGAAGTTTCACTTATTTCCAACATTCTACCAAATGCTATTCATAAACTAAACCGGTACTGGAATGTTTGGAAAACTTGAATACTTTCTCAACGTCTAAATGCCATTCAAAGACTTGTCAACATCCATTCTGTATCAGCCAAAATGTGGATGATATTATCCGCAACCAGCCACACTGTTGGGTTTGCCATGTATTTAACAGAGTCTGACCTAATCCCACAGAGTCGCCTCTAATTAAAAGTAATAGAGTGGAGGCATCCAAATCTGGGATACTACATGTTGTGAAACCTTCAGGTATGCTGTAGACAAACCAGTATCTGAATGAGCAAGGGACCTTTGTATTAGAGGAATCAAAATATATTGCGAGTGAGTGAGTGAGGTATTTCCCTGCTTTTTCCAGCAATATCATGGCGGGGGACACCAGAAATGGGCTTCACACATTGTACCCATGTGGGGAATCGAACCTGGGTCTTCGGCGTGATGAGCGAACGCTTTAACCACTAGGCTACACCACCGCCCCGAGTGAGTGAGTGAGTATGGTTTTACACCGCTTTTAGCAATATTCCAGCAATATCACGGCAGGGGACACCAGAAATGGGCTTCACACATTGTACCCATTTTGGGAATCGAACCTGGGTCTTCGGCGTGACAAGCGAACGCTTTAACCACTAGGCTACACCACGGCCCCGAGTGAGTGAGTGAGTATGGTTTTACACCGCTTTTAGCAATATTCCAGCAATATCACGGCAGGGGACACCAGAAATGGGCTTCACACATTGTACCCATGTGGGGAATCGAACCTGGGTCTTCGGCGTGACAAGCGAACGCTTTAACCACTAGGCTACACCACGGCCCCGAGTGAGTGAGTGAGTATGGTTTTACACCGCTTTTAGCAATATTCCAGCAATATCACGGCAGGGGACACCAGAAATGGGCTTCACACATTGTACCCATGTGGGGAATCGAACCTGGGTCTTCGGCGTGACAAGCGAACGCTTTAACCACTAGGCTACCCCACCGCCCCTGTATTGCTCAGAAGTAAAGTTCAGTAGTATGTTAGTAGTGTAAATACATTTTGACCCCAGAAACCAGCGACTCTGTGAACAACAGTTCACCTAGGAGAGAGACTCACTATCAGAGGGCATACAATACCACTCTATATTCTCAACCATTATGGGACATTGGAGACCTGTTGTTTCCCAGAAAACTAATTAATAATCAGTGTGAATTTTGGATTCCTGAAAATAGATCAAAACACTGTCCTACCTGTTGCTGTGGACTCTGTACATGTTGTGAAAATTGCACTTTGGAAGGTGGTTTAACCGTTTTGGGTATTTGTTTGAGATCTTGGTTATCTGATTTCCCTGTAGTAGTTTCCTTGACAACAGACTGTAGAGGGCGCTGATCAGGATTTTTTGTTTCATTAGAGGAAACATTGTCACTGTTGCCATCTGTTGTTTCTTTAGAGGAAACATTGTCACTGTTGCCATCTTTGTGGGCTGACTGTGTTGAGAAGTCAAGGTTCTCGGTAGCTGCAGACTGGATGATGAAGTCCTCCGACAAGTTTGAATCACCAGACGAATGATCAGAGGTGGACGCAGTCTCAAGAGGGTCACGACCTCTGACTCTCTCAACCACCGTTGATGCTTGGCCTTTCACAGTCTTGACAATATTTGCAGCGGAACCAGAAAACTTGGAAATGGTTTCCTTGATGTTCTTCTGTAACCATGATAACAGATAATGTTATTATTAGTCTCTATGCACATCACAGCACGCAATTCATATTCACAATGTTCAATTGTAATAGTAATTGCTATAGTCCAATGTATTCTACCTTGAAATCCAAATGTTGTAAACAGTGAGCAGAGCATTTCACACACACAATGTTTGTGAGAGTATTACTGTTAACAAGAGTTTGACTATTAACAAGAGTTTGACTGTTAACAAGAGTTTGACTGTTAACAAAAGTATGACTGTTAACAAGAGTATGACTTATGACTGTTAACAAGAGTTTGACTGTTAACAAGAGTATGACTGTTAACAAGAGTTTGACTGTTCACAAGAGTATGACTGTTGTTAACAAGAGTATGACTGTTAACAAAGAGTATGACTGTTAACAATAGAGTTTGTTAACAAGAGTGTGACTGTTAACTGTTTAACAAGAGTATGACTGTTAACAAGAGTATGACTATTAACAAGAGTTTGACTGTTAACAAGAGTATGACTGTTAACAAGAGTTTGACTGAACTGTTAACAAGAGTATGTTAACAAGAGTATGACTGTAAACAATAGTTTGACTTAACAAGAGTATGACTGTTAACAAGACTGTTAACAAGAGTAGTGTGACTGTTAACAAGAGTTTGACTGTTAACAAGAGAGTGTGACTGTTAACAAGAGTATGACTGTTAACAAGAGTTTGACTGTTAACAAGAGTATGACTGTTAACAAGAGTGACTGTTAACAAGAGATGACTTTGACTGTTAACAAAGAGTATGACTGTTAACAAGAGTATGACTGTTGTTAACAAAGAGTTTGACTGTTAACAAGAGTATGACTTATGACTGACTTAACAAGAGTATGACTGTTAACAAGAGTAGACTGTTAACAAGAGTATGACTGTTAACAAGTGTGAGTTTGACTGTTAACAAGAGTGTGACTGTTAACAACAGTATGACTTACTGACTGACTTAACAAGAGTTTGAAGAAACAAGAGTTTAATGTACATGTTGAAGTGGACATTATTGGCAAACAATGTCACCTCACCTGTTAGTGTGAGCCTCTTTAGGGGCCACCATGGCTGAAGTGAGCACATTTTCAAGCGTTAATGCATGTTGAAGTGGACATTATTGCATCTTGTGCTGTGGTCCACCATGATGCTAACGAGTTGGTCCTGATGCTAGAGTTGGTCCACGCTCTCCGACATGCCTTCCCCTGGTGTTCTACCAGTGCCCGGGTGATGAACTCCAATCCTCGCATAAAACCTGCAAGTTCACTGCTGATCCTCGACATCTCACCTGTACTGTTTAGAAAAACAAAATTTACACTTGAATTACAACTGAACTGCATGCATTCAGCATGTTCATATCTGTGTGACATGACAGTCGAGATATAGCTCAAACCGCAAATGTTAATCACATAGACAGGGATCATAAATTAGCATTGACTTCTGTTTCTAGTTGTTAAAGGGGGCTGCTTGAAGGCAGCAATAAATGGTATATAATTATAACCAAGAAGAAGCTGTGCCCAAAATGTCAAACTGACCAGGCTAACTTGACTGAAATGATGTTGTACATATACATATAAATAACATAATGAATTTGATATAAACATTTTCTCTAGTGTACTATTAAAATTTAAAAGGGAAACAGAGATATAAAACAATGAATTTGGTATAAACATTTTCTCTAGTGTACTATTAAAATTAACAAGAGTCATCAGAAGATGACATATTCCCCCGGCCCCCACATATTTGAAAGAACAAATCATCTGACAGTTACTTAAAGTCCAAATCGTTTCCATGGAAATCATGAGAAATATAAATGCCAAAATCTGCCAAATAGCAAAAGGCACCACTTTGGCATCTGCCTCACATATCTGCCAAGTTTTGCTGAAAGATATTAAGAAGTTTTCCAGTTGTGCTCCGGGAACGAAACCCACCCCATCACTTTTGGGACTAAGTCTGAATCGTTTCCATGGAAACCGGGCAAAATAAAAATGCCAAAAATCTGCAAATAGCAAAAGGCACAACTTTAGGATCTGTTTGATATATCTACCAAGTTTTGTTTAAAAATATTGAACGGTTCTTGAGTTATGCTCCGGAAACGAAGCCCACCCCATCACTTATGGGACTAAGTCCGAATCGTGTCCATGGAAACCAGGAAAATAAAAATGCCAAAAATCTGCAAATAGCAAAAGGCACAACTTTAGGATCTGTTTGATATATCTACCAAGTTTTGTTTAAAAATATTGAACGGTTCTTGAGTTATGCTCCGGAAACGAAGCCCACCCCTATTTAAGACTAAGTCCATGGAACATGTCCATGGAAACCGAGAAAAATAAAAATGACAATAATCTGTAAATAGCAAAAGGCACCACTTAGGTTATGTTTGACATATCTACCAATTTTTGTTGAAAAATATCGAACGGTCTTTGAGTTATGCTCCGGAAACAAAATGATTACGGACGGACAGACGGACGAGGCGACGACTATATACTACCTTGCTTCTGCTGAAGGCAAGGGATCCCTCACTGAGATATGTTTGCCAACTTGAACTGTAGTGTACATGAAAGCTGTTGCAATGCTTTGTGATAGGGATGACGCAGCTGTGGAGGGCAATCCAACCATCCAATTATAGTTCTGAATGGGTATGACATTGGAAAGGGAATGGGAGGACCTTATTATACCAGTGTTTGAGGCAGAATGTTCTTGATGACAAAAGTACATCTTCACTCTCCCACTAGCAAAACCCTGTCCAGATTATAAATGCCTAGATTAGCGCCTATTCTGTGGCTTTGCAATCCCAAAATCACAGCCATTTTAGAGGATGTCAGAGCTACAGATAACTTTTGGGGTCATTGAGTTATGTGCACGCTTGTGTTCATCTTAATTGGGTATCCTAATTTTCCTTTGAGTAACCAAATATATTGTACCCACCTCACTCAAGCGCAATTGGGTATTTTGCCATTTTCCATTAATTGTAAAAATATATTAAAGTTTACATGTTGGTTTATGTGTTTGTTATTTATATTTGATCTGTTATATGAAAAACGATAAGAAAGACTGCAAGTTGCCAAGTCCAGGTGCTGAAAATAGTGAAATAGAAACTCTCAATATACCTCAGTTATTTTATCTAGTTTTGTTTGTACCCATGTAACATCAAATCTATTGAGTATTTACAAAAATTTAAGCATACTTGTACGCAATAGACTTAATAGGAATTGAGTTTTCACATAAATATTTACATAGATACGCAGCTTATCTGTACCTCTGGGATGTTGCTTGTGTTGAGATTCAGTCATTTTAAGTAACACACCAATGTACTGACATGGTGTTCTGGAATCATGGAATATCCTGGCTACTATAGACTACACTGAATCCTCACGTTTCTAATCATATGATGCTGCTGTTCCTTTACAAAATGGCTGATGTATTATGTATTTGCAACATGTAAAATGAATTGTATCTCAATCACATTCAAAATCTAAGTAAAGACATGATATGAATGTATCTATACATTTTGGCATGATCTAGCATGATAACATTCCATTTTGTCATATTTATTACCGGTGTGTAAATATTCAAAATATAGTAAAGTAGAAATAGTTCAAGTATTCAGAATAATTAGTTCAGCAGGTGAACAAACAATAAACGTTTGTGAACATTGTCTGAATGGAATAAATGGATTATGATAACTAAGAGATTAACAAACTTTGATTACAATGTACACGGAATTCTCAAAGATATAACTGAAAAATGTTATTATTGAACCAAAATGCAGACTTCTTAAGTCACAAAGAGAAAGAGTGACATGGCGTTTCCAAAGTTAGTATTTTTGTGGTAAATTTAAATTATAACAGAAGCAATTTGTTAACCAAAGTGAATTAACGTTAAGCGTATCTTTGGTAAAATGACTTGTGATTGTCACACATCACTGAAACTTGTTTGACGGCGAAACCAACATAAGAAGTTAACATTGAGAATGTCGTGAGTGCTATCACAACAGAATTATACCCCCCTACCTGTCAAGCAGAATTTCCTCGCATGTAAAAATGCAGCAATTTACGTTCCATGAACTCACGTTAGTTTGATTCCCAAAGTCTAGTGCAATTCTTGGGTATATTTCCTAATGCCAGCTTGTGTAATCGGCATTCACAGAGGTCAAAGAAAACTGATGAGAGACTGATAAGTCATCACGAAGCATATGTTGGGGATCATATTAGACCCTAGTTTTAAGATATGCAGAAATGTTTATGCAGGGTACTTTGACATCATATTCATTTGTCTTTACAGCAGATCCAAGACTACCGGTTACCAAACAAGCACGTTGCAGCTGACGACCTTCACCCCTTGAACCCAAGGTTCACTACAAAGCGCCATCTATTATAAACATTACCTAAGGTAGATAACTCTAAATTCACATTATTGCATCATACAGCTGTCAAAGTGAATGGATAAAAATGGCATTTTTTATACTTGTTTCATACTGCGCAGGTTAAAATCAAACAATTTTTCTAACGTTTTCAAGCGGGGAAGATGTGTCGTTTTCCAATAATTGCATTGGTATTCTACCAAGGCCTTTTTGTTATCGATTGCATTAGCAACAGAAACACAGATTTCGACGTGAAAATCTGAAGCAGGACTTCCAAATTTTAATCGCAATGTCGTTTGGAGTTTTCTATTGATTGTATCAGTCTGTGAATGGCTGTCGGGTGGTAATGTTTTTACATGTAATATTGAAAAAAATATAGAGTTGTTTTCGTCAGCAACACTTCCCCAATTACATACTACATAGGGTACAAATATGGTATATTAATTGCAAGACGTTATTTGAAATGTTTAGGAATCGTGATAAAAGATGCAGTAAAAACCTCATCGCATAACTCGACACATCCGTCTTCATGAATGTGTCAAGGAAACTGAATTCTTTCTAATACTTGGTACTTGCTGGACACCTAGATCATCATACACGGTTGTAGACTGAGTTGTTAGACTGAGTTTCGATTTTCTCCACACTCCAATAGGCATCCTCTATCAGAGCGGGAGCTGCATCATAGTCAGCAGCATATCTATTCAGTCATATTCATGTGTTTGTGTGGTTAGTCCTGACTTAACAGTAGTATAATAGTGCTACCCAACTCAATTCCATGCCCAAGTTTATAATGGATACCCCACTCAGACACAATATACACTACAGGTATTTATCTAGATATTTGACCCCAAGTCTGCAGCAAATCATAATAAAAAATTCAAATTTGAATTTAAGATTTCCTATTTCTTCAGAATTTACAAAAACAAGAACACAACTATAATCAAATTTGGAACAATATCATAATTATTTCCCATTTTGCTTGCCCAAGGAACTTTGTTTGAAATCCTAGATAAATCCCTGCACTGACTTCAAGCAGACATGTCCTTATTTTATCCCCTTCATGCTTGAAGTCTGGCAGGGTAACATTTACCATCTTGTAACAGCTTTTTGTAAGCCCCAGCTGGTGAATGAACCACTGACCTGCTGTACAGGCAGAAGCCTTATCAGTATCAACCACTGGTCCATGGACGTGTTCATTATGTAGAAGCAACCAAAGAGGAGGTAAGCCATTGGCTAATTATCATGGAACCAGCATGCAATGGCTTCAGTATATTTTGAACACAACACAAGAAGGAAAAACATCATCCCATCTCACCTTCTCATTTTCATTTATATCCCACACTCACAAGCATCTTTTTGAAATATCAACATGCCATTGATCACAGTGACCTCCAAAATGTAATAACAACGTTCTTCATCCATATATTTTATCCTTACTTAGTACTGCAACTTCTAAATGCCTTCAGAGAAGACACTGATGTCATTTCAAGAAAGTCTATTTGCACCAATAATTACACAAAATTGGTACAAGAACAGTGTCTGTTTCCTGAAGGTCACCAACACAGAGACATGTTACAAGGACTTAAAGGAAGTAATTGACGGGGAAGTCCAATAACTCCAACCATGAATCTGTATCTCAAGTATGACACGATGTAATCAAATGGAAAATCATTTCATGAAGAAATTTATATATGGACTTGCTATTTTATATGGTAATACGTATATACAAGGCAGTGCTTTGTGTTTTAATGTTGTATGTATATTGTATTTTATTGTGTTTCCACTCATTACAAGGGCTGTGCACCAGTGTCATTATCTGGATGTATTGAAATTAAGGAGATGCAGTGAGTATATGCAACTGATAACTATGTAAACAATTCTTAAATTGTCCATAATAAACAAAGTTCCACACTGTAATGACACACTGATGTAGCTAGGTCAAAGCAGACAGTTAATTATAAGTCAGCAGGAGATGAAAGTGAATAGTTTCAAGCTGTTATAAGCAGTGATATTTAATGCTGCACACAACATTACTGAGATGTGAAGACATGCCATTAACCGAGTCACGGAGTCTGACCTTCCGATCTATGTAGTCACCTCTTATGACAAGCCAGTGTTGCCTTGATTGCTAGGGACCCGTATTCTTACCTGGAATTCTCCCGGTATCGTAAACACAATTCCAGCCAGATGACAGGGGTACACAAGAAATTAACATTTCATCCACGTGGGAAATTATTGCTGGGTTGAACCACTGCTGTAACCATGAGGCAACACCAACATCATCAAAAGTAAACATGCTTGTTCCCATGTTGACCTGTATTCATCCGTGTGCCTGTACCTTAAAAGTCTTTTATGTGATTGAGACAGCAATAGGCAAAAATGTCATAAGATTACAATAACGACAACTTTACACAAACCAAATAATACTATCCTTGTGTATTTTAGCGAATAGAACATAAGTGTACAACTTCATGTTTTCTTAGGTTATTTTAAAACCAGAATAATGTTAAACAATTTGTAACAGAACTTAGGATTTCATTAGTCTTTTCTAAAGAAACTGGCAAGTCCCATACTGTCAAAGCCATCCTAATGATCTCACACAATGAATCCCAGTAAACTCAAGTAGAGTGCCATGTTCGGGACTATTTTAGCCCTCATGTATCGAAATCTTGGGTGTCACAAGCTCCTCAGAGTGAAAGTAAGTTGAAACTTGAAAAATTTAAAAAAGCATATCTTAAAATTTGAATAAAATGCAAAGAGATGCATTTATATACACAATAAATGCAGATACGACAAATGCTTGCTTCATTCAAAACTCTATACTTATTCAGTGGGTTATGTTTGCTTTCTTTTGGCTGTTGGCGAGGTCTGACTGCAATAACATTGACATGGAAATGTCAAAACCTTGGAAAATTGAACTGTATCAGGTTGCCAGTTCAAGACATGTTTGAACTAAGCTTATTCAGAGTGAAAAAATCAGGACCACAACATTTAGTTTCAAAATGCATGTATAATGTACGGTTATGTCACGTTTCACACATCCCATTCACTCACATGCCTACCAGAGAAAAAACAGAAGTCTTTGAGATAAGGCCACTCAGTTAATCATGCTGCGTGTATCTATTTGTTGTAACTATGACTTGCCGTTATATTCTATAAAGTGAGTTTGGGTTATGATGCAGACTTAAGGTGATTGCGTCATTGTAATCTATGTGACTGTTTTTAGTGTGTATCTGTCAATGAGAATTGCTGAAATAGCTTGTATAGCTTTTCCCAAATTCATAAATCATGTGCAAAATCAAGAACACGAGGGACTATACTTTGTCAGGATGAAGTTCTCGGACATAAATTCCTTCACTTGTGTCGTGGGAAAGCATGTTACATGCCAATTTACTGTGAAAGCCAAAAGCAAATTGAACATAACTTTTTCAGCTTTATGACAGCACTGATTAAGTGCTGCTTTGCACAAGGTATCAGTTATATCAGTGTGTCAGATTAGGTAAATATGAAGCAATGTCGAACTTTGACGTCTTCCAGTTGGGCAAAACTTACAAACATGGGCATGACACTGATAAACCTGGAACCTCCATGGCCAGACTAGGATTATAATCCATACCCAATGGTTTCTAACTCAAGTCTTCACAGTGAAAGGCAGTCATTTGGATAAAGTAGAGAAACAAGGATAATGGATTTGAACCAGGATTTGCAGATCCTCGCCCAGGTAGAGGATGCACCCTAACAATAAGACTGATTCAAACATTTCCTGTAACTTCTTGATTCATGCAATTCATCCGATCCATCCCACTGCGGTCTCCAATGTCTATTCATACTAGTTAAAAGGAATCACAACAGACACATTGTAAGCTTTGTTCAGCTTTATTGAACTTATTTAGAACTGCATATAATGACCAGGTAAGAGACATGGTATTTGCAGTCAATTAACGGGGGCTGTGTCCATGCAAAGTCCATTCCCCAACATCAGACAAATTCATGTACACATTACATAATGCATGTTCACTTGTAGTCAACAATGTTCATTCAAGAACTTGTCACAAATGATCACAATTTCAAGACTGATATAAATATGTATACATGCTGAAAAATGGCTCAATCCATGGTATATGCCATTTCCTGAATTCAAAACTATTGGAGGAAATATCACAGTCTAAGAATGATCTTTGATGATAATTTACAATCAAACACTGAAAATTAAAGAATGTTTATGTGTTATGTATAGTGCTTCAACCATGTCAAATGTTCTGTAAGTAAATATATTGTGCTCTGTATGCCCGAGAAAGGACGATGTGACAGCTTGTAAGCAGATTTTAATAAATAGGTGGTATTTCTCATGAACAATGTATGAAATGTATTATAAATAATTAAAGTCTAGGAAAATGACACCTGGGCTTCGTCTGAACACAGCCCCTTTAAGTTGTAACAATGACAGCGAGTGATGGCAACTTGTCAACACTGCAGGTAACAGACAGCCAATTCATGATACAACAGCAAATGAAGACAATGAAACGTACTAAATGTTACTTCCTAGCAAGCAAGGTATGAATTAAAAAATAAATAACAATCTTCAAATAAAATATATAGGTAAAATCTGTAGCCATGAACTGACGATGCTTTTGACAATATATATATGTATATAATTATAATGCATGCATCTTAGAAATTGATGGACCTGAACATGTATATTTCATGTTTGTCCCTACATAATGAATAAATAGGCAGTCTGTTCCCTGCTATCGACATTTGAATTTCATTGATGTCACACACTGTGGCAAATACCAAGGCACAACCATGTGCACGTCTTGTGTACGTTTATGTACCAAATAAAAAGCTATAACAGGAGAGAGAGTACATAATGTAGAGAGCCTCCCCTGACCAACACGCAGGAAAAAAATAAATAAATAGGGTTCCCTCCCTTTAGTTAAACCTACCACACAATTCCCAATTCTGAACCAACAAATCATTAACCAATTTAATAAATAAAAGCCACAATCAGTGGCTGAACAACAACTCAGGTCAAACGGCAAATTGGCAACTTGGTGTCCACACCAGCAAAGAGTGATACATTAAAACAGTGATTAAAAAAGCCCACAAAATACCATCTGCACATGCCATCCAAAAACATCAAAATGTTTTAAAATTACCATAACCAATCAAAACAAATTTCCACCCAAACTAATTCAAAGTAACGTTTTCCTCTGTCAATTTTCTTCCAGTAAAACCAAATGGAGGGAACACTACAAATAAAACAAAATCTGTCTCTTTCTCTTTCTTGTTATGCTTAAAATCTAGATGCTCCTTTTTTCTTGGTGAATATTATGACAATAAATTTGGAACCGCTCCCTAGACAGTGTTATGTGCAAATTAAACTACATAATAACGACTAAAACGTGTCAACTCACCACCCTCATGCACAATAATAATTCCAGAACACATAACAAGTCTATGAATACTGGTTAAGGACAGCAACTGATATATTGCTTTGGTTGGGTTTCCGTCTGCTGCAGTACAAAGTTAGTCTTTCAATGAGCCATGTTTCGAAACTGGCAAAAAAAATTCCAGATGAACTCTCCATCTTATGTACTCATTTTCAAGAGAGGTTTTCAGAAAGCCCACCTTATGAACGAACCATAATCCTTGTAACTTCCAGCCACTGCAATATCTTTTCCAAAAATAAGGTACCACATATCTGGGGTATTTCTACGACTAATGTATACAATAACATTATATATATTACAATATCACAAATCAGACTGGAAAAACAATATGGTGGCGAAAAGGTAGGAGGATTATCATCTCGTTCATTCACGACCACGATCCCAGTGTAACTCTGCCAACGCGTATTACATCCGAGTTGGCATAAAGGTGCCTCTTCCAGCCTCCACACAGAAGATTCCACCTTAATGAGGAAAGACATCGGGCTATGACAACTGCAGATCTCATGGTAAAAATGCGTGGCCTATCCATCCATGAGTCAGAGACAGGAAACAGATAGTAAGGTGAAATCACCAGCTGCTTGCACAACATGCAGTTATATGATACCAGGCAAAGAGTGAGAGGAAGTGAGAGAAGAGCGACAGAGGAGAAAGAATGAACTACATGACAGACACACAGAAACCTTTTCCAACTCTTAACAACTCCACACAGAAGGATTAAAGAACGGATGAAAAAAAAAAAAAAGAAATGAAAGAAAAGAATAAGGCGAGTGGAAGAAAGTATACCCGTTCAGTTGGAAAACACTCTTCCCTGGTTACAACGCACACAATGAATTCATGCTATTAAGGAAACAATGACTCTACATAACTTCTGTCCATGGTTCAAAATAAATATGACTCCTTCTTAATTACAGTTTACCAGTGATTAGATCATGTACATGAAACGTGGTTAACAACTTGAGTTAAATAATAACAATCATTTGACTAAAACAGTAGCTTTTGTACATCATACAATAATCCATTTAGGTACACATGTATATATAATACAATTTCTGTTGCATGATAAATGTGATAGTATAACTATTATAATATAGAATACCTTTCTATGAAAGGCTTGTTTTGGAAAGTGGAGAGTATGCTTGAAAAGTCTAATAAAAACACCACCTGGATGACATTCCATGACCAATGGACAGCATGTCCCGAATGTGTTGGTGTAATCGATAAAACGAAAGCAGCCGATAGTCCAATATGCATCTAACATACTTCTCTGAAGTTGGGCAAGGTTTCATCGGCTTGGTAACGATGAGAGCATTATGAGAGTTTTCTTATCAGTCTGTGAGTTGATTGAGTTTAAGTCTGTGAAAAACGACACGGCTGAGATCGGATTGATTGGTATATACAGAAGTCTAATGGCGGAAACAGATAAAGTTCAATCGATGTGTGGTGTTGGATATAGTGGGATGAACATGCAATGCCAATGTACAAGAAATCACTTGAATGCAAATAAATCACTTGGGGCCATTATGCCATGTAGGGGTAAAACAAAGGCATCAAACTTACAGTCGCCATGATAGATATCTATAGTCCCCACAGATGATCGCGAGACGACTAACGAGCTGAAGCTTGGCGAGCTCTCTTGAATTCCTCCTGCTGAATACGCTGTTGGATCATGTACTGTGCTTTGGTGATATTGGATGGCGTTCCAGTGATGGAGACTATGCGGTTACGGGTGCCAGGGGCATACACTCCCTTTTTTGGAGATTTGAATATTACTTCCAGTAAACTGCTGAATTTCAACTATTCCTTTTCCTCCTGGTCCAAGTATTGCACCCACAATACTCTCGGACACTTCGATTTCCTGTTTGGTGGTTCCAGCTGCTTTATCATCAGTTGGACTGTACATCCCTGTTCCAAGTCCAAAAGAATTTTGGTTCATATTCGGTGATCTATCTCCAGTTGAAAATGGGGCAGCATTTTGATAATTGACTGTGCTAGTGAAGGAATCATTTAACATAGGGCTGCTCCCATACCTCTCATTGCCTATACTGGGGGAAGAGCTCCCAAACAGACTAGAGCTGGCCCCAGTAGAACCGGAACTACCAAGTCCAGAGGAGCCGCTTCCAACTGGACCAAATAGGCTTGTGGCACTAGTTGAGTTATTACTAGTGTTAAGGAAAGCATTTGATACACTGCTAGTTGTTGTAGTAGAGCTAGCCATCATGCTTGTGGCTCCGATAGTAGGCGTGCCCAAACTCAGTCCACCAAGGCCAGTCGCTCCACCAAGGTTAGATGGGGCGATATTTCCTAACGCCACCTATTCCAAGGCCCATACCCAGAATTCCATAATTTGCTAGTGTGCTCATGGCTGCACTGATCTCCTCGGTAGCCTGATCAGTGAAGCCACTGTTGCGAAGTGTCAGCTTTAGGTTGTCTATGGCAGCACCAGACATGGCCCCACCTCCTGCAACGGCAGCAGCGTTCAAGTTGAAGTTTACACCAACATTGTTGTTGAACCCCGCAGGTGCGTTTCCGTTCACCCCGAAACCGAACCCTCCGCCAGCGAAGTTATTGTTACTAATAGCCATCTCTGGACTGCGGTTCTGTATGAACGTGGTGTTAGCAAATGGTGAACCAGTTGGATTGGCACTGGCAACGGGACCCGTATAATCTGCATAGCTAATATTGGGACAACTTCCACTTTGTGGATCTTCAACAATCTTCTGTAGAATCATATCCATGGCTTTTCGGTTAGATTCTAAGTCACCTGTAAAATTGAATAAGAGTCAGTCAGTTTGGGTAGTTAAGAACAATGTTTAGTAAATTAACAGTCATGCAGAACTACAAAGAAGCAGCATTAACACATACTGAATGCTGGAGAGATGTTCATGTTTTGAAGCAAGTGATATGCATATCTTTATGAACAAAATGTTTGTATGAGCGAGTGTATGAGTGAGAGTGAATGAGTGAATGACATATGAAGTGCAAAATCTCTTATGTTATGGTTTTATGTAAAGCTAGCATCAATCCATGTTGGGTATGATGAATACTTTACCCTGGGGGTTCTGAGCAATTTCAGCAAAGCAATCCTCATTAGTCAACAGAAGCAAGTGATAACAAGGAACAACCTCCCCTTGATATGACCGTAGTGTTGTGTTTGAAGTCCATGTCATGCCTTTATGAATCAATGCTTAAGTCATGTTTTTGTTTGAAATGAGTGGATTCAGGTAAAGAAGGCAGAAGGATGGACACTAGTGTACAACTATATATATTTTAGATGCAAACCCCAACCAATCTTGCCAAAACTAAGTACTGAATGCATCATTTCCTGCAGCAATATATTTCCTTCTGTTTTCTTGTGGAATGTTCATGCCTGATTATGGCCCACACCAAGCTCGAAATATGGAGACGGCAGTTAACATTTAAAAAACCACAACTACCATCTGCATATTTCATCACGCAATGTATACACAAGTTGGAACAAATCTCATTTAGAAGTAGATATATAGACTATTCTCAACGCTCATGCAATCGTTGGTAAAACATGTTCCTTTAGAAATTTTGAAATTCTGAATTGTCATGTAATGCGATAGAGACCCAAAGTCAATGACAATTTCCATCGAAAATTGCAAGGCCACTGAATATGAAGTATTTGTTCTTCTACATAACAGTGCAAATAAGGTTTATCTCAAAATAAGAACTGTTCCAATAACAAAATTCATCAGTCAACCACCAAGTTTGTGTATCACTATTGCCAACAAATGACCTGATGCAGGTCAGAGAACACAAAAGGTTAAGATTAGACGTCAAGAATGAAACACTTCAGTAGCAATTGGTACAACGATAACTTGGTGATCAACAGTTGAATGTGATTAATGAAAATGAAGGGGAATGAAATGACGTGGTACCTGTGCTCTCACCTGCTACCGTCACACAACGCTCAGGTAAGTTAGTTTCCTTAGACTTTTGAGAAATCTGCACATAAGCTCCACTTTCTTCCTTAATTTGCTTGATAAAGTTTCCAGCCTTTCCTATAATCATCCCAGCTGTGCTGTTTGGTACAAGGATTTTCACCTGGAAAACAAGCACTTCTTTAAGAATGGGTATACCTCAAGAAAGGGTCTCATTTTCGAGCTCAGTTTAGTTTTGAAATTTAGACTTTCGCAAATTTTAAATTTGGAATTTAGGATCTGTTTGCGGATTTAACAATTTTGAATGCATCAAGAAAGTCATGGTTTTGATCCAAACACAGGGATTTGAACCCTAGTGGAAATGAATACATGTACTTGAAAATGAGCATGAAGTTGAACAAGGAATTTATGACTATGATCAATGATTCGTGTATGATCAATGCATGAGAATGAAACAAGTAATTGAACCTTAAATCAAAATTACTTCAATTTGGAATATACAACTTTAACTTCTACAAACTACAACACATACACACAATATTCAGCTGAAGTTGACATCAACCAGCACCAGTTGGTTTCAATCTCACCTACATATTTATGTCAGAATTTTTAAACAAAGGTTTAGTAAAAAATGACATGTGGAGAGTGAAAATGACAACGGTTGTGACAAGGATGATATTTTGATCTGAATGCCATGGAAGAGGATTGAACCAAAATGAACCAGATTTATGAACTGCTGGGGGAGGGAAGTGCAGTGACATGGAACATGAACTGTAAGACCTCACTACTCATAACCCACGGACACCACTACCACCATTATTCATGGACAACAATACAAGTTTATTTCAGACTGAAATCAAATTTTCTTTTGAGGAACTTCGCTTATACAAGGGCATTACTCTGGCAATGTTGGCACAACCAGGTACTTTAAAAACATTTAAACACTATTTGTCTGCATTCTTCCTGTAGGTTTATGAGAACAATTATGTGCAAGCAATGGTAACCATCATGTGCATGGCTCACTTTCACACATGGAACTAAACAGTGTCCCAACCTAGACTGGTTATAAAATGGAACAAAGACACCCTTTAGAATGATAAACATCACCCGCCTGCAATGTTATTTAAAATACTAAATTAAGTTAATTTCCTGTTTATTTCCTCTAACCCACCCCATCCCAAACAGCCATGTTTAATTTATTTACTAATTTCAACCATAACTTCTAAGAAAGCAGTATATTTTCATGATCTTCTTGGAGAATCTCTTCACTTTTCTTCTTAAATTTGTTGTCAGTGTTCCCCAACCACATTACGCTTAATTTGCAGGTACCAAGTTGATATAGGTACCAAGGCCAAGTCAGGTTGGACTTGGTAGATAGTGTTGAATTCCTAGCCTTTATGTGAAGGCTTGAAGAATGGAGATTGCCATCCACTGGTGCTTGTTAACAAACTCAGCAGAACATGGTGCGCATGTGGATGAAAGGTGAAGGAAAATCAACTGACTTCTACCTGACGATGTCTCTCGAATGTGGTCTTGGTTTCGTCAAGTTTGGGGTTGGGGTCTGGTTTTTCCCGGATTTTTTCCATTATGAAATTGTGAACTCTACGAACAGCATCGACGGGACCCATGATGAGGCACACTCTTTCTGTTGTTCCTAAAAGTAGGAAAGATTTCAGTTAGCATCACTGTTTACAGGGAAAGATTTTCTTTTCCTACAAATAAGATAACCAGTGATCTGAGCAATAGCAATTTTCAAGCTATTGGCCTGTAAAACATCCTGTCTGGAATAGTCAAGCCAGTATATGACCTCATGAGCTCTGATATAAGCCAGATAGGCAACACAGTAATCAAGGTCATAATGTGACCACCCATTTCTTACGAGTTGGTTCAAACATGCATTAGGACCAGGAGAAAGAATCTAAAACAGTATTGAACATTAAAACCTTATCAGAAGAAAGTACATGTACAAGTTAGGACAACCTACTCTGGTCAAATTAACTTATTCAGGTAAAAATACACACATACAAATCAGCAACGCTTATCAGGTTGATGGCTTATGTAAATTAACTTGCACTTGATCAACAGAAAAATACACAGCCACTAGTCTATCTTGATGGTCATGTCCCATTAGTCCTACTCCCACAAGTCATACTCCACTAGTCATACAGCAAATGAGGGATTAATTAAAACAACATGCATATAACCTTTGCACAAAATTATATTGAAGTTATATGAACATAATACACCACAGCCGTTGATAATCAAAACATTTAAATCAATGTCAAACTCTACTGAGTTTGATAGAGTTTACTCAATCTCGTAAAAATTGCTGCCCAGTACCAGGAGGACCAAGACGTCAGACTCTGGGTCAGAAGAGCATCATTCCTTGCACTGTTACCAGAAGGTGATGTGCAAGATGCCTGGGTCAAAGCCATGGACAGTACGCCAGAAGTAGACAACGCCCAGAGATTTAATGACTACATTGTGACAACTTGGGTTGATGGTCTGTTTCTTGGATCATTCCACTTTATTACAAAGGTATTACAAAAGGTAGTTGTTGGTGCAGTCAACCATACCATTTGTTGCTTTAACCCATATGACTAGTGGGACGTATGACTAATGGGAGGACACTTTTTGATAGTACTTGCCTGGATAGAAATCATTTGCCTTGGACATTTTTACACGGGCTCCGGCCTCTTTCTGGACTTGGGCAATGGTTTCCCCACCTTTTCCAATGATGGCTCCTGCTGCTATACTGGGCACGAGGATTTTGAGATGGATGTTTTCTCCTAAAACAAAAATAATTTGAGATTGAACATAGGAATCAAGCATAATGAAATATAACCAATAGCAAAACCTTTTAAGTATTCATTATTGTTTGACACTCGATAGCTGATTTTGAATTATTGACATCAGACTTTAAAGATGATGGTAAAGATAACTTAAAACAGAAATAAAATGTTTGTAAGCACTATCTTGTTCAATTGAATTTAATCAAACATGACTGCTTAATTAAAATCAGCATAAGATAATATCAAATTTGAATAATTTATTCAAAAAGGTGTGAATTCATGTCATGAGGAAAGCACATGACAACTTGAAATGAGGATCACATTTAAATACATAAACTGCTGTAGAAGACTTTCAACCTGAGCAAACCCATCAATCTACAGTGCAAAGTTTGGGAGTACAAGCGTGACACTGACATTTCTGAACATAGAGGACTTTTCTTTACTTCTTGATGCACAAACCTCAACAAAAGGTTCATGATAATGATACTGGATAATAATGCACAGGGAAGTGTAGAAAGCTGAAGGTAGGCTGGTCCGCTGACAGCTTGATTTATACACACATATCCTATCTACTAACAGACCTGGCTGGCACTGTTAGGTATACAGCCTTTCTTTTCTGACCTATTTGTACATGACCGTGAGTCACATGTAATTTCCATAAAAATACATTTTACACAGCCAGGTATATCAATACAGAAAGATGGTGGAAATGCTGCTTGCTGGGAGTCAACTTATGTGTGCACTATATTACTGATTCCAAAACCATCAACTGATACTGGTTACAGTTTCCCGTTCTTTATAAGTGTAGTGTTCATCACGGCAAGAATTACTCCACCAGATGTTGCAGAAATCTAGACACAACTAGTGCCCAGCTTCTAATCAGACTTTTCCTGACACTACTGCGCAGTGAAATCAAGAAACTTGTCTGGAAATTTTAAATTTTAATTGAAAATTGTTTGAGAAATATCTACTTTTGTAAAAATTCAGGTATATTCACTCATACACACACAAATACAAAATGTCTAAAAACACTGAATAGAATGTGTGATAGTGATAGAACTGAAAAGCAAGACTTAATCAGAAAATATGCTTCATGGGAATATTTATTACATCAAACTTTATCAGACTGTAATACAACCAATTAAATCCCCACATTGTTTTCATATTTGTAATTATCCAGGCCTTTTCACATATTTGCACTGAAGCTGCACAGGTAACGCATACTGAAAATAGCCCCACCTCCTACCTCCCCCCTTCTCGTCTCACACAGCTGAAGTATGCAAGGAATGTGTTATACAGACAGTCTTGTACTGCTGTAAGGTATTGACACTATAGATCCACTGCCCTCCACAATACATTGCAAATCTGTTAGTTTATCAATACTACATGAATAGCATTATCAATGCTGTTTCTTTTACAGTACTGATCTTATTTGGGGTTTGCTTGGGAATATTTGAATATTTAGAAATCATATTGGTACTTGATCAATTCTTCTCAGTATGATTAACGGATTCAGTGGAATTCAGATAGTTCACAACCTTTTTTCATAAGTACCTCAGCCATCCAGAAAAGTTTTAATTTCTGGCATATCTACAAATATGACATTTTGATTTGTGTTAAGGGATTCAATATGTATTTCTGCTATTTGGAATACCTCCAACCATACCAGTATTCATGACACGTCGATTTATCTAAATTTCAAATATGACAAAATTACACATGAGAATAAGTCTATTCAACAAAATATTACCACACACAGTAACAATTTCAACACATGTGGAGCACTGTCAATAATAAAACTCCATATGCTAGCAATATACACAACTAATGACACAGGTTTCCTTAACAGCTGACAAAACATTTGTTTCTAAAAGTCCAGTGTGCAAGTCCATTCTGACCTTTGTCCTGTCCCAGGGTGGTCGTGAGATTCAGCTTGACCATATTGGCAAGAACAGAGTGACATTCATAGGCTGAAGTGTACAATGGTATGTAGGACACTTGCGGAGTAGAGCCAAATCACCTGAGTCAAGACAATACACACTAGCATATGGTCCATATTGACATGGAGTCAGGCCTATACACCTCTTCCCTAGGGCTACCATGCAAAGTAATCTTATCATCGACACTGGAAAACTGTAATATGCTCCGAGACATTTCTGTTGGCTATTAAACCAACGGGCCTAGGCCTAGTTTCAGCACATATTTCTACACTACATAACCTAGTTTACATAATGTGATGACAATCATTTTTTTGTCGCTTCATTCACCTTGGTCGTGGAAACTGCCACCAACAGTAGCAGGCCAAACTGTGTTGAAAGTAAGGGAGGTACTGGGGTACTTGAGGTTTGCTCCAATAGTATTTGAATCAGCGACCCTTGACAAACAGCATCAAGGTCATAATTTATGCTTAATTTTCAACTCGCAAAACAAAAATATCAGCTTTATTAACTATGCACTTTCTTTCCAAGTGCAGGTTGAAAACCATGCCTTTGATACCTTCCAAATTTAAAGTTTACTTACCAATTAAATGTAATGAAAGCATCCCAAATGACACTGCTGCATAAAACAACTGTATCCCAAACCAACAAGTCCTATTTCAGCTCCACGTACAAATTTGTACATGCAGTAAGACAAATGGCTCATGAACTTTACATATGGTTGCATTCATCAACAGATGAGGAAATTCACACATTTACCACCCTCTTCAATGAAAACAAAATCAATAGATCTTGGGCAAACATGATGGTAACAAGAACAGGTTAAGTATTTGCACATGACAATTTAACACTGTCAATTTTGGCCCTATAACCTTTTACAGTGTTCTGACCACATCATTTGTGCAACAAGAATCACTAATTTGAATGTGGAACAACCATTCTTGGGGTCCAAATACCTCATGCTTATGCTTTTTGACAAATATACTTGAATTGACAAAAAAAAACAAAAAACAGTAACCAATGGACACCTTCAAAACATTTCAATTTATCAAACCAGAGATTAGTAGTTGATTTGAACTAGATTAGTGAGGTAACCAAGTGTGCAAAATTAAGAATTAAACTGTGGGAGTTCCAGCTATAATCCTACTTTTGAAAGATTTAAAGACGGTTTCTCGATTACACAATAGCAGCTGTAAATCTTAACCCATAGACACCCCCTTTAAGTTAACACTGGATTCTACAAATCTGAACAGAAGAAAACTTGTAAACAAGGAAACAAATGAGTGAGTGTAGTTTTACGCCACAGGAAACAAAAGAAAATAGAAATAAAAGCAATAACATCTTCACCATCTACATTGCAGTCGCACTGACCCTCAGTAAGATAATATTCAGATTGCAATGGAAACCACAAGTCACATTAAAAGTACTTTCATGCGAAACATGACGCTTGTTCTAATCATGCTAATGGTACAGAACAAATTGTAACTAAACATCAAGATTAACCGTTGTAACAAACAACAGATACTTTCATATTGACAAAAATATGGAGTTACTCATGTTACCAATTTCATCGCTTTAACACTGGCTTGAGATGTAATAACGTAAGTGGTGTATTGTTTATCAGTTCATGCATCAGATCCACACAAGAATCGCAGTCAAATGCCGACCTGAACCTATGCCAAGTTCCATAGTTTCTGCATTTAATCATTTACTTTTTGGGTGCACCAAGTCTGTTACTAGGAACAAAGCTAACAACTTATGTAATTAAGCACTGGAAAACAGACAACCACTTATATATTGACTGCAACTCCCTTCTGGCAAACACTCTGGAAGATATCAGTTAAGAAACTATCATTGAATTGAAAGGCTGCACAATAACACTATTTCTGACGTATCGAGCAAGTTGAATATATCAGCATTTCACTGGCAAAGTATGCCTAATGTTAAGCCAACTGGTTTGGCAGCATGCCCTGAGACAGGCCTGCCGAGGCATGCACACCTTCTGCTATACCATGGCAGGTAGCTACAGGTAAAACAGGTCCGGTAGATAATCGTCAAGTATAAATGGTAGATTCCTGTACCCATCTGATGTTATAATAATCGGTTATAAAAAAACCTTAACAAATAATTTACTGCAGAACAAATCTTACCATTAATATAGCTAACTTCCTTCCAAACCCAAACATTTCCCACAAAAAATGTTTTGAAACATGCAAATAATATGCAGTGACAAACTGCATTTAATTGAGCTCAAATTAACCTCATTTTCAGCGCCTACCCAACAAATGTGTTCAGCTGGTTATTATAACATTTCATCAAGTTGTTTTGGGGGGTCTCAGCTATAGAACTGGAGGCCAACCAAGCAATAAACCTTCACACATTTCAAGCATTAATGACAGACCATGTTCATGACTGCTTGAGTCTTTCAGATCATAAATCAGCTTATGAAGCTCAAATACTGGGCATAAAAATTCAAGTCAATACCCAATTGTTACGATTTATCCAGTAAGCAGGGTTCTGTTACACTAACTTGAAAAGAAGTGTACACTAATTAGACAATCTAGGAAAAATCTGCAACCTATGTAACGTTATTCAGGCCAGCAGTAACGACCATTACCTAATGATCCACAACCGTTGGTAATGATTATTCGCCCTTCTGTAACAATCTCGAGCATGTCAGCAGATCACAGAAGACTTGAACACTTCACTTATCAGTACCACTTACCAATGGGCAATACATCAACTGCTGTTTTGCTGGAGGCAAAGTAGATCAACCAGTTTCACATTTTTCACTGAGAAACATGAAAAAGGATGCTTAATATATAACTGTCACAGTTGCTGTGACCTACACTTCAAAGTAGTCTACACACACCTGGCATGTGAAATATATGCTTTCCATATAAATGAAATATACAATTCTGATGTCAGTTAAATATTAATGCAAAACTCGTAATCAATGAGATTCTCTACCCTGATCTCAGCCATGATCACTTCCTGTGGTACACAGAAATGCATTAGCACAATTTCAAGGGGAGAAAAAGAAATATACCCCAAGAAAAC